GCTCCAAGGCAGGGTGGTACATGGCAGACAGGCACTGCAGAGGAGAAACAGTTTGTGGAGGGCAGATAGTAGCAAACCAAGCAAGAGACCTTAGCAACTTCTTTCTGCCCCTTTTATATACTATCTAGGCTACTGGGTTTAGGGTAGTGCCAAACTAATCAGTGTAGCAATTTAGCAACCACACACCCTTAATTCCAGCATCATACTCTAGATTTAGCCACCTGTAAAAAAGCCCCACTTATGACTGTGTGAGGATTTGACACAAAGCATAATGCCTTTGTCTGGCTGGAATTTAGAGCTGAGTCACAAAGCTTTGCACACAACTGCCCTGCAGCTAACATTTTATATGAACAATAAATAAACACCTCAAAAGCTAAGCTTGAGGTTGTCTGTTACACAGCATGACTGCAACAAAAGCTAACTGACACACACTATGTGTTATGATTTATATCTAGATGTCCCCCCAAAGCCTCATGCACTCATAGGTAGGGCTTTGGGGAAGTGACTGGATCATGGGAATGTGCTAAGCTTCAGTGGATTCATCTACTGATCAATTTATGAAGCTAAATGTGATGTTCGGAGGTGGAGATGGCCGAGGAAAGTGGGTCACTGGGGCAATGTCGTGGAAGGGCATAGCTCCCTCTGCCATTCCTCCCTTCAAGCTGTCTGCTTCCCCACCACCATGCCGTGAGCAGCTCTCCTCAGCTCTCTTCTGCCATGAGCCTCTGCCATGTCATCCTGTGTTACAGCCAGTGGACTGTGGACTAAAACTTTTGCAAACTGTGACCCAAAAAAAGCCTCTCCTCCTCTAAGTCGCGGGGGTATTGGGTATTTTGTCTGAGCAACAGGAAAAGTGACTAAGACAATGCATGAGATGAGAAGTGATTCTTCACACATGCTATGATAAAAGGAGTTGTGACGAATGAGGAATTGCAGAATGTTTCCTTTGGTGAATTTCATCTTCATTCACTCACTGGCCTCAGAGGTGAAAGACACCCACCCTTACCTCAAAGTCCCTACTCCCTGTAACCTCCTGCTCCTCCTACTGCCTAGCTCCACCCTTCATCCCATCCCTCCCCTGGATTGAATCCTTCCCTGAAGCCACATGCTTCACTAGTCCTTCCATCCTAAAAATCTCTTACCCTGTCTCCCTGCACCTCCCTACGGCTCAGTATCTCTTCTAACCTTTTCAGATAAACTGAAAACAGTTAACTCTGCTCAATATCCTCTTCTTCACTCTCCCCTATATAGGCAATCGAGCTTGCTTGCCTCCTGCTCTACCCAAACTGTTTGCGGTATATTTTGGTAACCTCCTAATTGCCCAATGCAACTTGCACTACTTATTTCAACTCAACTCACTGCCTCTCCCACCCCAACGTTCCTCCTTCCTTATGCTCTCAGTGGCACCATCATTACCCCAGAGACCCCTGACTGAAAGCCACCATGAGGCAATGAAGTCTATCTGAATTTGTGAGACTTGTCTAGTCTCCGTGTCTTGAGACCCCCAAGCTGAAATGCCTCCTGGGCAGTTACACATGTGAGCTGGTAGCCCAAAATTCGACATAAGATGAAAGCTTTTAAAATCATATTTAAAACCATGAACATTCTTGAACTTTCCCAGTTTATAGAATATAAGCACCAAGTCTACAAATCCCACTTGACACAGAGAACCTTCCTCTGAACCCAGAAATCCCTACTCCTAAGGTCACAAGTCTAACTGCCGTTTGGTTTCTTCCCTACTAAATCCTGGCCCATGCCACCATCTTGTTTCATAGATTTGTCCCTGTTCATATTGTCTTTTCCAGAAGCCAAAATTCAGTCATTGAAAAATAGAATGTCAAAATCACAATGAGACTCTACCAACCAGTCAATAAAATGTCCACAGTCAAAAGGGCCATCAAAACAAATACTGTTGAGATGTGGAACAAATCTAGTTCTCACAAACTGCTTTGGGAATGAATGTGAAATGGTATATCTGGTGGTCCAGCGATTTCACTTCAAGCCAGTGTTCTCAAAAGATTTGGACAAGAATGTTCACATAAGGGTCCCAGGATGTAGCTCAGTAGTTCAGTGCCTGCCTGGTAAGTGTCAGGTCCTGAGTTCAATTCCCAAGACCAAAAAAAAAAAAGAAAAAGAATGTTCACGTAATAGCCCCAAGTTGGAAATAACCCAAATATTCATTAACAGGAGAGAAGATAGATATGGTGGTATATCCATGCAATGGAATATGACTCAGCAACAAAGAACAAATGACTCAAGCACAACACAGATGAATCTCAAATCATTAAGTTGAGTGAAATAAGCCAGACATAAAAGAGTACCTACAGTGTGATTCTATGTACATGAAGTCCAATCACAGGCAAATATTACTCAGTGGATGATACAATCACTGAGAAAATGGTTGCTTGGGTGGGTACAGTAGAAGGCAAATTAATGTAAAGTGTTAATTTTCTAGCGTGATGCAAATATTTCATGTCTCATTTTAGGGGGGAGCTGGTTACCCAGAAATAAACAACTAACCAAACTCATTGAACTAAACAACCATTTAAGATTTGTGGATTATAACGTATGGAAATTATATTTGAATGAAAAACTGGAAAAATAATTTTTAAGCATCTATAAAATAAACACTAAAATAAACTGAGAATCCGGGCAGAAAGCATATTCATTTCAAACAAAATAATATCTCCACTACAAAAGCACCTGTATAAACGTCCAGTCCCCTACTTAATTCATCCCCTTTTGTTTGTTTGTTTTGTTTTTTGTTTTTTTGTCCGGTACCGGGGATCGAACTCACGACCTTGCGCTTGCTGGGCAGGCGCTGTGCTGCTGAGCTAAATCCCCAGCCCCAATTCATCCCTTTTTGGCAACGCCCCCACCTCCTCTTGATGAGGTCTGTCATTAGCCTGATGAGAAATGCTGAAACGGAACAAGCACAAGCAGTTGAGCTAGAAAAATGCATTCAAATCCTAGCTGCAGGGCTGGGGATATAGCTCAGTGGCACAAGCACCTGCCTGGCAAGCACAAGGTACTGAGTTCGATTTCCGTACCCAAAAAAAAAAAAACAAAAAACAAACAAAAAAAAACACCCTAGCTGCAATTTACAGCTGAGTGCCCATGAATCAGTACTTGAGCTTTCTGAACTTTTGTTTCCGCAGCTATAAAATGGGTTAGTGAGACCCAGCCCATCCTCTTAGGCTGTGGCTCCTATAATACCAAATCACACTCATCAAGGTCTAGAAGTGCCCAGAGAATGACACACAGCAGGCTTCTTCTCTCAGAGGATAAGAAGGCACCCTGGGCCCTGGATTAGGGTCTAGGTGAGCGCTGCTAACAGGTAGGGAAAGCCACTCAGAGCCACGCTGGTCCAGGAAAGGTCACTCTTGGCCTCAAATGCTGGAGCCAGGTTCCTGGCCGCTGTAACGCCTTACCCTAATTGCTTTGTACACCTCCAAACCTCAGCCACTCCACCAAGAGCACCGGGATCAGACTGGATACAAGAATATGCAAAGCGTCCTCTGGGGGTTCCCAGACAAGGAAGAGATAAGCGTAGAACTGAACTGAACTTTCTGTCTGAAATAAGTACGGAGAGGCCAGGCCCTGCCGTCTAGGTGCTCTTCCCCTGCCACGGTGGTGCTTGAGCCAGGATACTAGGCCTCCTGGGACACGGTTTGAAATTTCTTGGAAGAGGAAATCCTTAGGGACACTTTCAGTTCTGCCTTAGTCAGTCACTAAACATCTGTTACTTGTAACAGAGATAACTTGGATCTGCATCCCTCCCCCATCTGGTAGGGGAGGCAAGAGATACCCAGAAAGAACTCCAAAGGAGGTAAAAGTGCTTAGTGCAGCCAAAACGCAAAGCGGTTACCCAAAGCCTTCACACCCGCTCCCCTTGAGGCCCTGGCCACTGGCAATGCACTTCACATTGGCTTACTCCGAGAGCGAGGGCTCCAGCAGTGCCCTTATCTTGCAAGCCAGGAACCTGAGGATCTACCCGGAAAAACATCTCCCAGCTGGGAAGAGGTTGGTCCGGACCTCCACCCTGCATCTGCCGGCGAAGCACACCTACGTATTACCAGGTAAATGAAGGGGACTCTCAGGCCTGCTCTAGAGACAGAAGGTGTGCAAACAGAGTAAAGCCGCAAAGCCGGCGGCCTGGGTCTCAGTTCCTTCCTGGGGGGAGGAGCGGCGCTGATACCCGGGCGCCTCCTTCTCCCGCCCACAACCAGAGGGAAAATCGGGGAATCTCAAGCGGCTCTGTTTCCTCTCCCCACCGCGCTGACATACCGCTCCCCCAACCTTTACTGTTACTTGGATGTTTTTCAAGAGTTTGTGCAATCCTTTGCTTTAGCCGTTTTCCAACGCGGAAGGGTGTCCTGAGTGGGAATGAGGCGGCTTGAAAAGTTGAAGGGACCATTTTGCCCCCCATCTCCCCAAGCAGCAACCTGCACGGGGGCTGCCGGAGTTACAGTGCCCGGAACTTTCCCCGCTGGGGGCGGCGCGGTGCTCAGCTCGGAAAGCTCTCCGGCATCCCCGGCTCTCTTCCCCGCTCTCACTGTGTACCCCATCTCAGCTCCCCATTCCCAGAGCCACCCGCTTCGCACCCTGTTGTCTGCCAGAACCGTGCCTCGGTCCCGCCCCCAGCCTGGATGGATCTCTCCTGCCTTTCAAGACTTACTCTCCTACTGGACCCGCCGAGAGCCCCTGTTCTCCCCGCCCCTACCCTGCAGGCGCCGCGGGGTAGGAGACTCCTGAACCCCTCGCCCCGCAGGCCTGAGCCCGGAAGGCTGGACAGAGGCGCGACGGGCACAGGATGGGGTCAGAGACTGGGTCAGATCTGAGCACGGAGGAAACACCGCCAGAACAAAAGCAGGGACACCGGCAGGGCAGACACAGGGCAGCGCCAGCTCAGTGGCCTGCCCGCTCGCCCAGCCATCCAAGCCACCCACGGGGCCCCTCTGCCCAGCGCCCGCCTCCCCACGCGCGGCCTCCGGACCCACCTGATCCGCAGAACTCGGGCGCCAGGGCGCTCGAGGCCGGACCGCGCCTGGGCTCCGCTGACCGTGGCGGAGTCACGGGAGCCGGCGGGAGCCTGTGCTGGGCGTGCAGGGGCGGGGTGCGCTGCCCTCCCCTGTGGGACCTCGGCCGGCCGGGCGCCTCCTCCGCGCAGCCGAGCAGCGGGCAGCGGGCAGCGGCGCGAGGGAGCGGCGTGCGCTGGACACAGCGGGCGGCGCCTCTGGGCCCCGCCTGGCCCGCGGCTGTGGGTGCCAAGCCCGTCCCCGCCCCGACCCCGACCGCGGGTGCGCGAGTGCGGTGCGCGCGCATGTGTGTGTCTGGGTGGTGGGGAGGGGGTGATGTTTGTTTCATTTTCACTCAGGCAGAAGAAAGCCTGAAACCAGCAAAAAAGAAAATAGTAAAATCCCTGGTGAGAGTAGCTGGGCCTCTTGCCTTCTCTCAATCCTGCACGTGGTGGTAGTGGTGGCAGAGGAGAGGCGGGCGATCCTGGGAGGGTGGGGTCTGCCGAGTTTGCTTCCCGGAGGGAAAACCCGGCCCTAGATCTTGCTAGGATTCCCTCCAGCCCTGAGCTCTGGAAGTGAGGGGCTGGGCACCAGCTTTCAGGGGTCTTTGAGCCCAGAAGTTCTCAAACAGGGCTCCTCTGGCATTCTCTTCTAGACTTATTTAGACAGGAATCAAAAATAATTTTTTAAAAAATCTGTTTCAAGGTTTGAATTTGTGTGCCCAGGGTGACAGCGAGTCACTTCTAGTGAGTTGAGGAAATCACGTGCGCCGCCCTCATTTGGTTTGCCCTACACTGGTAAGGACAATGGCCACCTTTGGGCTCATATGGTTTCGCTTTACTGGTGGAAATGAAATGATAAAGATTTGCTTTGCCAGGATTGTTTGCTACTGGATATTGTTTTCATAAACTAAGAGGTTAGTCGTTTAGATAATTGAATACACTGGAACTGTAATTTGTCATTAGGAAAATGACAGGGAGTGTGCACATGATGTACAATAACATTCATTGTCTCATATTAATGCAGAAGGAACAGAGGTCTGATTGAGTCCTGGAAGGACTCACAGAACCCACAGACCAGCCAGGTGATATCACAGAACTTGAGAGAATGACATTTCCTGGTGGGTCTCAGGAAGTTAAGTGGTGGGACAGTGAATCATCGGCCCCACACGGCAGCTCTGGAACGAGGAGCTCGAAGCGGTCAGCACAAAGGGCCTTTGCTGGAGGATAAATTGCGCCATTATCATCTTTTGTGAGCACGCTTGCAATAGCTCATTAGCAGTGAGCAGCACAGCTAGTGAAGCTCTGCTGAGTGCATTATTTCCCCCTTTCCCATTACTGCACTGGGAATGTGTTGTTCAAATTGCTAGTCCGCCAAACCGGATTATAATTCTTTTAGAGGAAGAAAACAATGAGAACGAATGTGATGGCAGCTCAAATGATGGCTTGTGGTGATCAAAAGATGACAACCCCCAACATCACTCTGCTACTTGAAGCCCAATAAAATCGATTTTGTGGTTCCGTTTGTGTTCACGCTGAAGATTTGTTTCAGTTTTATGGTTGCTTGCTAAGCTACGAGCGTGAGAAGCTCATGTGTAATTTTAGATTTAGACCTACTTCAGTAAAAAGAAAACAGAAATAATGTGAGTCACCACTCTGAGGCTGGTAGATTTCCTTTTTCCTTCTGAAAGGAGGCATTTGTTTCTCGAAATCAAACTAGCAATTCTATTGACTGTCTGAGGTGTGATATACCTTGAAAATTATATACTGGATCCGGCACGTAGTGGTTCAGGGTCAAAAGTTCTAGGTTCAAGGCATTAGCTGAGTCATTCTGCCCATCTAAGACTCATTTGTCTCTCAAGCAAAATTGGGGTAAGATGACTGATATGTAAGAGAAGTGAAATATAGATGAGCTAACTTCAGGGAAGTTATCTTGAAGATCCGTGCATCACAGACAGGTGAGACTGAGAAATTTCAGGAGCAGAAGGGCGGACTGGGCAGACATTGAGTAGCCTTGACCCCTGGATAGACACAGCCCAAAGTGCTTCACCCGTATTTCACTCATTTAATCCTCAGGGCAGCCTAGCAGGTAGATAGGAATCACAGTCCTTGTTCCAAGGAAGAGAAGAGAGGCACAGGGTAATTAAATAACTGTTTGCCATCTCTCTAGGTGTGGCCAAACGCCCTGGGGCCAAACGCCCTTATCCTTTCTTCTTGCTTCTAACAAATGTTTACTGAAGCCTGTGTCAGTTTTCTATCACTGTGACAAAGTACTTGACATCAGTCAACCTTAAGGAAGAAAGACTTATTTTGGCTCACAGTTGGAGATGATTTAGTCCATGGCTAGCTGGTTTCCCCATCATGATGCTCAAATGCATGGTGGACGCCAGGAAGCAGAGAGACAGGAAAAAAGTGCAAAATAAAAAGGGGCTGGGGATCAGATATAGTTCCCGAGGTCACACCCCTGTGATCCACTGCCTTCAACCAGGCCCCATCTTGTTTCCATCACCTCTCAAAAATGCTTTAATATCAAGAGCTCACCAATGGGTTAATGAAGTCAGAGCCTTCACAAACCCGTCATTTCTCCCGAAAGCCCATCTGCTGGAACCCAAACCTTTAGCATGTAAGTTTGGGGGAGACATTTCAAATCCAAACTATTACAGGGTATTGTATCTGTCATGCTGAGGACACCGTGGAGAGCAGTGTAGACAGTGCCAGAGTCCAGGCAGGCCAGTAGGACACAGAGAGTAAACCAGGAATGAGGCAATTCATCACGTCAGGATCGTTGTGATCAGGCCTCAAAGGGACCCACAGGATGCAGAGGCCTGGACAGTGGATAGGCTTGGACCTGAGAAAAGGGTTAACTGGAGGGAGGCGGGGGGCAGTAGCCAGAACAAAATGGTGTGCAAAAGTCTTGGCTTGGGAGATACAAGGTTTGTGAGAGTACAGGAAGGTTTCAGCATCATGAAGATAGCATTTCTCCCTAAAGCAATTGTAAATGCTAAACAAATCCTAGTACAGCTTTTGTAGAACTTAGTGAACTGCTCCTCAAATTCATATGGAAGATCAAAGAGTAAAAGTTCACTGAAACAGTTCTGACAAAGCATAAAGGAAAAGGTGGGGGACCCTTGCTCAGTTATGGAAACGCGCCATGAAGCTCTAATCATTAAGGCAGTGCAGTGGTCCCATTTCATCAAAGAACAGCATATTCTAGGAACCCCAGTGGGTGCCTAAAACTACAGGTACCTGGAACCAACTTAGGTTGCTTCAAGTTACAAGTTTTTCACTTTACAATGCTGTAAAAGTGTATGCACACGCCTTTTCACTTTCACTATAATTATCAGTAGTTACCTGAAATATTCAACACTGTTACGATTTAGGTCTGAAATATCCCCCAAAAGTCTCAAGTGTTCAGAGGCGGTGCTTTCATGAGGTGACAGGATCATAGGGGTGCCGTATTCATCAGTAGATTAATCCACTAATGCGTCCATTGTTGATTGCGCTGTTGGGAGAGAGAGGCAGGCTGGAGAAGGTAGGCCCCTGGTGTGGCCTTCAGAGGGTATGGCTCTTTCTCTCTCTGCTTGCTCGCTACGATGGGTTTCTTTTACCATGCCCTTAAGTGATGCTGTCCCTGCATTGGCACCAAATGGCTGAGGATTAAACCCCTAAAGCCATGAGCCAAATAAACCTCTCCTCCTATAACTTTTCAGTGTCAGCTATTTTGTCCCAGCTATGGGAAGGTTGACTAATACCAACAAATGACTATAAAATAGGCTTTGCGTCAGATTCTTTTACCCAACTATTGGTTTATAGAAGTGTGTTCTGAGCACGTGTAGGTTAGGCTAGGCGAAGTTATGTTGTTCAGCAGGTAAGGGGTATTAAGTGCATTTTTGACTTAAAATATTTTCAACTAGCGGCAGGTTTATTGGGATGTAACCACATCATAAATCAAGAGGCATGTATGTATAGCACTATGGTTTTCCCTATACATATACATCTATGCTATGATAAAGTTTATTTAATAAGTTAGGCACAGTCAGATAAACCACAATAACTAATAATAAAACAGGTCAATTATGATAACATATTGAAATGAAAGTTATTGACAACTTATGAATTATTTATCTCTGGAAGTTTTTGTTTAATATTTTCAGTTTGAGGTAGACTGTGGATAATTAAAAATTCAGAAGATGGAAGCAAGGGTAAGTGGAAACTACTGCATTGTGTTGGTGCTAGAATGGATTATGAGGCCCCTAGGACAAGAATAAGGATCCTAGAAAGAAACCCACATGTGTGGAAGCTGGGTGTGTGACCGAGGTAGAATAACAGCTCAGTGAAGGAAAGAACAGATCATTCAATAAGTGTTTCTGGCACCTAAAAGAATTGAAAACAGGTGTGCAAACAAAAATCTGTAAAGGAATGTCTCTGGCATCACTGCTCCCAATAGCCAAAAAGTGGAATCAACCCAAATATCTGTCAACTGAGGAATGGATAAACAAAATGTAGTCTACCCCTACAATGGAATATTACTCAGCATCAAAAGGAATGAAGTACTGATTCATGCTGCAACATGGGTGAACTTTGAAAATATTATGCTAGGGGAAAGCCAGACAGAGAGGGCCATATATTGTATAATTCTGTTTATATGAAATATTCCAACTAGGCAAATTCTTAGAGTCAGAAAGTGGCTAAGAGGTTGCCAGGGTCGGGGAGTTGAGAGGAGAAAGAGACTGTTTAATGGGTTCAGAGTTTCCTTTTGAGGTTATGGCTAATACTCTGAAACTAGATGGTAGGAATGGTTACATAATACCAAGAATGTTCTAAATGCCACTGAATTACACATTAGAATGACTTAACTATTTTGCATATGACTTTATGCTACATGATTTATACCACCATTTAAAAATATACTGCTGGGAAATTGTCTACCCATACAAAAATACAAAATAAAAATAGATTTCCCCTCTCCTCTGCAGCCCCTCCATATAATAGTAGGTATGTAATAGTAAGTTAAAGACTTGGTTTTTAGCCGGGCATGGTGGCGCACGCCTGTAATCCCAGCACTTGGGAGGCTGAGGCAGGAGGATCGTTGGGAGTTCGAGGCCAGCCTGGGCTACAAAGTGAGCTCAAGGCCAGCCTGAACTGCATAGCGAAACCCTGTCTCAAAAA